TTACTGCGCTGTCTCCCCGATGTAAGGACACTAAGCAGCCTCACAGCCATTGACACGCGCACACATGCATGCCCGAATTGAAACCTCGATGCTGATTGGTCGTGATCCACTGCTGGCCGTGGCCAGCTATTTGTAGACGCTGATCCTTCTCAACTGGATGTAGCACAATATTAGACAGACGATTGCAATGCTGGCGAGGCCGACCGCATTGAGCCAGAGGTCCCAGGGTGTAGAACTGGACAGAGCCATATCCTGCAGATACTGCGCACCTGATTCACTGTAAAATAAATTAAAGTTATTAGTATGTGTGTGTTTGACGCCGAGTACGGGTGTGCACGCCTCCCAAATGGGTTACGCGGTACGTGCGCTGAACCAACGCCGAGGGTAAGTCAGGGCTCCGCAGGTGTTTCTTTTGGGATGCGCACCCATAGCAACTGCTGCGCATGGGAGTTGAATTTCTAGGTGCGGGTTCCCACCGTGCCCGTTTCCGAGACCGGGCTCAGGTGGGAAAGGAAGAGAGGCCATGGTAGATGTAGCGCAAGTCTACCGTCACTAAACTAATTCACGTGCAGTCATCCCTGCGCCGCCATGTTGCGGAGCACACGGCAGATCTCGTCCAAATCGGCGGTAGAACTGTTATTCGTATGCATTAATTGATGTCTCCTTAAGATTCCACTTCCGGACAGGAATTTCTTTACAGGGTAAGAGATTTCGTCAGTGAACCTGCTTCTACTTAACATCGGTGGTATTTTCAAAGGAAGAGATAAACCTCATCCATGTTTGTACGCGGTAACTGCTAATGGGATCCTCAGCGGTCCAGGTACGAGGCACTTTAAGTGTTGAGATTTTGATAGTCACCCATCTCAGTAAAAAGGGAGCATAATTCGCAGCTGTTTGTGTCAATGATTCATTGATTTGTAACAACAGTAATGATGTTCATTGTGACACCACCTGGCAGGCGTTAAGAACAATCTAACGGTCTGAAAGTCGAATCGGGGCAATCTTAAACAGGGCAGCATTCTACCTGTTCTTCCTATTTAATCAAACTTTTGTTGGTAATATTCGACCATTTGTCCTATTGTGCCAGCGAGGTTAAACTCCAACCTCGCTACGAACGTTCATAACGTATAACAACGGTGAGAAGAGAAGAAATTATAAATTGCGGGTCCTGGGATCCCATCCTCAACTTATAGCACGAGAATACTAACGCATATATTCTAGAGTATTGTCCGTCTTTCAACAGGTTCCCTCCTTCCGTGGGGAGGACGGGGGCAGATAAAAAAGGCTAGGTTAACACTACGCTTAAACTATACTTTGTCGAATTGCACGAAATTGTATAAAGGCAGAGGGGCTTTCGTGGACGCTTACCATGTTCGCAGGTCCGGAGAACCCTCTGTTGATCTGTTGACCGAAGGGCAGAACTCCAGAGTGGCCACTTCGTTTATAAGTAGGCCACCTAAAGTGTATCGAAAGATAGAGAAATATCGCAGCCAGCTTAGCCAGGCGCCCATACTATTGAGGTTGATCAGGTAGCCTCCAAACACCTAAAAATAAAAGTACACCACTGATGAGTTGAGGGGCCTATTACTGCCCTGACGCGATTTTGTTGGAATAAAGTGCTACTACCAAACAGTCAGTAACAATGTAAGCTAATTGTCACTTACCATCATAAAAACGAAGAGAATGCTGATTATGACGTTGGCTATGCTGAAGGTAGTGACGCTGGCGCTAATAAAAAGAGCCGCCGCAGCGGCCGAGAAGGTGCCCAAGGTGAGAATCAACTCGAAGAAGAAAAAGCTCCCTACGGTTGGTACCAGTTTTGCCATCCAGTAGGTAATGGGCATGAATACCAAGACAGGCAGAGCCTTTGTCGGCACCACGTCGCAAATCAATTTGGACAGGAAGTAGGCGGATACTCGATAATAGCCACTGGAATGTTCATGTCTGTAGGATCAAAAAACACACAGCATTGCCGTGTTGGCAGGATTAAAGGAATATATGAACATAAAATGAAATTTTTATCAAATGCAATTGGCCGATCTCGTAGGAAAAAAAGTCAATTCTTTCAGACGAACCTCTAATCACAGATTCTGGCTGAGTGCATCTGAAGTACCAAGAAGTTGCTCTCGACTGCGCATATTTTTTCGGGCTCTTGACCGCACGAACATACTTCAAGTCTTCCTCGTATAAAACAATAAGAAATTCTACTCTTGGCGAATAGCGACCGTTTTCAAGGAAAGTACTGTTTAATGCTTCGAATTATGCTCTCTCGTAATCGGCAGGTATATTAGATGTTGTACTGGGAAGGCATACAACTCCATACTTTGGTCTGTTTTATACTCTAAAGGTGCACA